TAGCGCTCCTTCCAGGGCCCAAAAAGAAGTGGATCAGGGCCGAGGAGTACGGATACCTCGGCCCCAATCTGCAGCTTCTTGGGGCGGTCCACGGCCACCCGTCTGCTTAGGCCGTTATATCTCTATGACTCCACATCATATGGAATCCTATGTAGTTTCAGAAGGGGATTTAGTTCTTCAGCAGAGATCTCTAGTGCTTCATCAAAATACAAACCGCAGGATTCCATAGGATGGAACCATGGCAGATAAAGTGGAATCGTAGCACTATAACTACATAGTGTGAAGGGATCCTAGATAGGCAGATATCACATTACACCTTGCAAAGCATATTAGGACAAAGACACAGTGGCTAATCTCCATATCTGTAAACAAAAACTCCATCCGCAACTCACAAGATCTGTTTCTTCTTTTAGATGTAATACACAGGCTCCTTAACTGGCACAGAAAAGAAATACAAAATAGATGATTGTGTTTATATATACAATGCTTAGGCAAATCCAGTCTGAAAAAAAAATTGGCCAAGAAAACCCAGGTGATAGGTTTGTCTTAGGGCTATAAGTCAAAAAAGACTTGAAGGCACATAATAACAAAGAGATTATCTTAAAACAAAGGTACTACATTGCAATAAAAAGTGCATTTTCATGAAACTAATTATTACCTGGTGGTCAAAGTGGACAGACCACTCAGTGTAAAATCCCCTTTCAAGTGGCAAAAACTCTTCCTCTAGTGTCCCTTCTGAATGCTTCTTTATCCCAATTGTTAATGTTGTTGCTGTTGCCATTATTATTTATATGCTGTCTTTTCCCCAGCTCCATGCTCAAGGTAATGTTTTGGGATATTTGCATATGCATAATAAGATATCTTGAAGATGGGACCCAAGTCTAAACATAAAAATCATGTTTCATATACACCTTACACACATAGCCAGAAAGGTAATTTTATACACAATATTTTAAAAAGAATTTTGTACACGAAACAAAATTTCTGTACATTGAATTATCAGAAACAAAGGTGTCACTATCTCAGCCACCTATGTGGACGATTTGTGATTTTGGAGTACATCAGATTTTCGGACTTCTGGATAAGAACAGAAGTTTACTTTTCTCTTGAGTTCACAGGGAAGGGTAAGATTTTGCTTTTCCTCTCCACTCCCTGCTGAATTAATTGAATGTAAACTACTTTTGCACTTTGAACTGTTTGCATTAACGGAAGCAAGATGAGGACAAAGTGGGAAAGTGGGAAGAGAATCATAGAATCATGGAAGAGACCACAAGGGCCATCAGGTCCAACCCTCTGCCATGCAAAAACTCTCAGTCAAAACACTCCTAACACATGGCTATCCAACCTCTGTAAAGAGGAGAGAGAATCTGAGGCATTTTAAATGCAGCTGAAAAAGTGGGATGACAGTGGATTCATTGGGACTCTCGCTGCCAATTGGGGACAGTTGGAGGGTATGGAGACTGGCTTTTCCTGAAGTTTTCCAACAGTTCTTGTTCATCTCTACTCAATGAGGAAGAAACTACCCATACAAGTTCCTCTCTGATACAGATAATGGGTCCAACCCTGAAGGAAATAGAGAAGCTTTGAATCCAGCAGATTTAAGTCTGCCTCTACCATGCCCCAAATTTCCATTTGGGGACTCATCCATTGGATCTTTTGTGCTCATGACGCTTTCTATGACTGTACAGGGAGCAGAGAAATCTCTGCTGGGTGGAGGCTCTCTTCCGTCCCCATTCTGCTAAATTAATTTAGGAAATCTCAAGCATAATTGCATGGGAGTAAATCCCATTGAATAGCAAGGGATTTATTTCCAGGATATACGTTTAGGATTATGCTGCATTTTAATAAGATTGATCCAATGAAAAGTGGTGGAACAAAACTTCCCTTTCAGGAACTGTGTGTTTCTATTGCAAATGCTATGATTAGTAAGATTTCTCTCAAACTAAAATTAAAAAACACTTTTTACTTCTCCCAAAAGCAGAGAGCATTTTTTTTTAAAAAAAATAATTTAATTTAATTTAAAAATGTACATCTCGGTGCCAAGTTCAAACTTGGCTGCTCAACCAAGCTTTGGGGGTGCAGTGACTGTGCCTTGGTTCTGTTTTGTTAGGATTGTGGGTTTTGCCTTCTGTTTTATTATATTCTGTTTGAATTGTGTAGAGTTGTTTTCAGTAAAATGTTTCAATTGTTTTAGAAATGTTCTCAAGTCACTTTTATTGTTTGTACTCTGGATATAGGATGGGATCTCTGAGGCACAGTCTCCAGGTATAGGACTGAATAGAAATATTTTAATAAATAAATACTATATTTTTAAAAAAAGAAATTGTAAACACTTCACCATACAGTGCAGTCCTATGCACATTTGTTGTGTACCTTCAAGTCATTTCCAACTTATGATGACCTTAAGGATGACCCTATCATGGAGTTTTTGTGGGCTGAGAGTGTGTGACTTGTCCAAGATCACCCAGTGAATTTCCATGGCAGAGTGGGGAATCGAACCCTGATCTCCAGAGTTGTAGTCCGGTACTCAAACCACTACACTGTGCCACATTTAGCTGAGTCTGTCTAAATTTATAACTACGGTAGGTTGCGTATCCACAGACTATCATACAATAGGCCTTCAAGTTATTTCTGACATATGGCAACCCTAATGTAAACCTATTCCAAGGTTTTCCTGGCAAGTTTTGTTCAGAGAGGGTTTGCTGTTGCCTTCCTCTGAGGCTGAGAGAGTGTGACTTGCCCAAGGTCATCCAGTGGGTTTTTGTGGTTGAGCAAAGATTTGAACCCTGATTTCCCAAAGTCCTAGCGTAACACTGAAACCATTAACACTGGTGCTTCTTGGGCTGTTTGATGTGGGGGACTGGAACTACATTGGGTACAATTGTTTCTTTCCTCCCTTGAAACTTTCCAAGAAGTGGCAGCCAGTTGCTCTGGGACAGGTGCCTACTCCTGCACTACATCTTCCTTTTCCATGACGCATCCTACATTAAAACATTATCTCCAGGAGGAATTTCAAAATGTTCTCCATTTTTGAGCTTAATTAAGAAGCATGAATTTACATTCATATTAGTGTTTTTGGCTTTTAATTTGTAATGTACTACATTTTTTGTTGAATATCCAACATTTTGTAGACACTTGTCCTCCTTTGGTAACCTCCTTGTTGATTCTAATGAACTGACCAAAAAAACCTAAAGCATGCTTCCCAATATTTCAGATGAAAACTGGACACTTGCGGCCAAACAATTTCAGAGTGCAGACAAGGCAGGAAAGGTTATTAATGAGGAACAGCATGCAAGCTAGGAGAGGCTGCAGCGGTTTGCTTCTGTCTGGGCCTACTGGGAAGCAAGATTTCACCCTTCCTTTCCTCCCCAGGGTTAACTGAGTGCAAACTACTTTCGTACTTTGAATTCAGCTCACAGTGGAGAATAAATAGTGAAAGTGGAAGAGAAAGAAATTGGGACATTTTAAAAGCATCTGAAAAGTGAGGATAGGCAGTTGATGAGGATGGTCCCTGGCAAATCAGGACTGTAGGAGGGCATATTAAAGGCATTTATTCTTCAGGCTGAGAATCTTTTGACAACCAGCATGGTATAGTGGTTGGAGAGTTGGACTAGGGATGCTGACCTGGGGGTATAAATAAATTATTATTATTATTATTATTATTATTATTATTATTATTATTATTATTAAAGGAGGGTGTCACCCTGATCTCAGGGCCCTTCCAGCCAACCTCAACTCATGGAGAACCCAATGGATGAGACATCTCCAAGCCCCTCTGCCCTCAGTCTTTCTGCTTAGGTCCTGCAGCCTCAGGCCTGTGGTCTCTAATTGAGTCCATCCATCTTCTCCAGCATCACATTTCAAATGAGTTGATTTTCCTTCTGTCAGCTTTCTTCACTGCCCACTCTCACATCCATACCTGCTTATGGGGAATGCTATGGCTTGGACGCTCCTCACTTTAGTGCTAGATCTTCACTCTTTATGATCTTGTCTAATTCTTTCATAGCTGTACTTTCTAGTCTTAATAATAATAATAAAATTTATTTATACCCCGTCCCTCTGAGCGCAATCGGGGCAGCTAACAAGTGTTAAAGTACAATCAAACCCCTATACCCTCCCCCCCCCTTAAAAAGAATTAAATCAACTAAGAATTAAAACCATACAGATTAAAACAAAACATTACAACATTAACAGCATCAAATACAGATAAGCCATTAAAGGAAAAATGGCGGTTACGTGTTAATGAGGAGGCGGGGGCTAAGGAGAAGGTTTCTGGAGGGCTCCCCTAAGAGGGGTTCCTGAGGCTGGGATTTCTATCCTGGAAAGGCCTGCTGGAAGAGATCCGTCTTAACAGCTTTTTTAAAGCTGTTTAGAGATGTAAGCAGACGGATCTCATCCGGCAGGCAGGCCGTTCCATAATGTGGGGGCGACCATAGAAAATGCCCTCTGGGAGGTAGCCAAGTGGCTGGAGCAAGTTCCTCTCAGAGGACCGGAGAGCGTGGGGAGGATTGTAGGGGAGAAGGCGGTCCCGAAGATAGTTTGGACCCAAGCCATTTAGGGCTTTAAAGGTGATAACCAACACCTTGTACCTTCTGCTAATTCCTTGACTGCAGTCTCTGTTCTGATCAATATCTGATCCAAGGTATTTGATCCAATACCAATACCCAATAATTGATCCAAGGGTGCATCTTCACAGTAAAAACAATGCAATTTTGACACCACTTAAAGTGCTATAGCTCCGTCTTTTGGAATCCTGGTGTTTGTAGTTTTACTAGGCTTTTCGCCTTCTCTGCCAAAAAGTGCTGCTGGCGCCTCACAAAACTGGGGTTCTGTAGTATGGAGTATGGAGCAGTTAAAATGGTGTCGAACAGCATTATTTTATTTACAGTATTTCTATTCTGTAGATGCAACCTCATTATGGAAACCTCATGAGAGCAGGGTGGCCAGAGCCCCCCCCCCCCCTTTTCCCAAGCCATGCCCTCCATTTCATGGCCTTCTCTCCAGAAGGAATTCCAAAACGTCCTCCCTGTGGAGTCTGACTAAGAAGCATGAATGGCTATTTCTATGAGTGCTTATGAACTTTTCTATGTGGTAAAGTTCTCCATCTTTTTTCCCCTGTGGGGCCCTGTCCTCCTTTGCGGGGAGGACCTCTGGTCACCCTGCAAGCGTCAAACCAGGGCGGCTCTGCCCAGCTCCCGGCGGAGTTCCCCCGATCTGGCCCTTTTGCCCAGGGGTAGGCAACCTTTCCCCTTTAAGGGCCGAGGGACTTCAGCTCCCAGAAGCCTCAGCCATGTTGGCCAATAGTCCCATGTTGGCCAATAACTCCTGGGTTTCTGGGAGTTGAAGTCCCTCGGCCCTTAAAGGGGAAAGGTTGGCTACCCCTGCTTTTGCCCATAGAAAGGCACGGCGGATACTCCTCTGAGGAAACCCGACCCTCCTCCTCCTCCTCCTCCTCGGATCACGAGGAGCCCTCCTCCGACGATGAGGGGAAGAAGAAAACTCAGCTGGGCTGGAGCGGCAAAGGGTTAACAAGCGCTTGGCGGGAGACGGCCAAAACGTGACGCTTTTTGAACGGAGGAGGAAAAGGAGGATGATAAGGGGTAGGCAACCTTTCCCCTTTAAGGGCCGAGGGACTTCAGC